GTTGACATCGACAGCAAAAAGGGCAGGATCAAAATCTGGAATAACGGAAAAGGATTGCCGGTCCAGATCCACAAGAAGCACAAGGCGCCCGCGCTAGATCGCCTGACGGGGTCTTGTCGCAAATGCATTGGGACACCCTCCAGCACTAGCCGAAGAAGAAGGTATTGCATAAGCGTGCACTTTCGGAGGTCCGCGCGGATGTCTTGGATCGGAGTCAGGCGCTCCTAGCGGCGCCTCTGTCGCCGCCCCTGCCGCGCTCCGCTCGCCATTGGAGGGACGTCCAGCATCGGCCCAAGAAGCCCGCGCGGACCTCCGAAAGTTCCTCTCTATGCCGTTCGCTTGCTCTTTACTCATGGGGGCGCGTGAGCGCAAGATATCTCTCAAGACACACGGCCGAGAATTCGCACCCCCAGCCCCCCATGTCGGGCGTCCCCGACCCCACCTGGATGGGGTACAAGTGCGGGCAAAGTCGACCGAGGGCTGAGCAGCGATAGTTCCGCTGCCTTTTCTTCAGATAGCGTTCTTTTTGAGGCCCCCAGGGCACGCTACATGGATCTCAAGCTGGGGCCATGGGTTTCCAGTTTCCCAAGACAGCCACCAGATGTGAAGTCTACGTGCCTCATGTTTCTCGTTGCTGGTCAAAGCCAGAGCACCACCCCGCTGCACGGAAGATGAGGGGGAAAAACACAGGATCGCTCAAGAAAAAGGAAATTGTGAAAGAGGATGGGATGGTGAGGAGAAGCAGGGAACACATCTATCTATCTATCTATATATATATATATATATTGAAGGAGGCGAGTGGAGAGATGAGGAAGAGAGGAGGATAATAACGAACAGCAGGAGGATGAAGCGCCGGAAGAGGAAAAAAAGGAGGTTGATGATGAGGAGGCCGAGGTCAGCAAATACAAGGAGAAGGAGGAGGAGGAGGAGGAGGACGGGCAACAGGAGGAGAATGAGAAGGCAGACGAAGTGGAGAGTGACGGGAGTGAAGAAATTGATTATATTAATCCCACATGGGCATGGAGTATCAAAGAAAGGGTTGTACAAATCTGTTGCAGAATGTCACCGAAGTTTCATTGAGAGTGTTGGCGAAATTAGTGAGGACTCGGCTTCGAGCCCCTCTGGCTGAGGCTATTGTCCATGTCGTCGTGTCTTGTCCCCTCAGCAGGCTTGTCGAGAGGGGTCAAACTTTCTGCTCTGCTCCTCCCTCGTGCCACACTCTCGGTCAGGCTTTTTCCTTGTGCACCTCCAGCAAGTCTAGCGTGCGTTCCCGTCAGCTCTTGGAGTAGAACCGCCCTGCCTGCGTGGTCGGCAGGAAGCTGCCCCAGCTCGCACCACCTCGCTCCCAGCGCGAAGCCCGTCGCCAGCGCGGTGGCAGGAGGGCTCACCGACCGTGCAGATGCCCGCCCGCTCCCGGCGCGGGCGGATCGCCTTGACGGCGCTGGGTGTCCACACGCTGTCCGCGGCGGGGGCACCCGCCTGCGAGCACGGCCTCGAGGGGGCTCCGGAAACGAGGGGCCGTTCCTCCACCGGCTCCGACGAAAGTGCCTCTGGAAAACGGGAACGGCAAGCAGACTGCGACCGGAAGCGGCAGAAGGAACGGCTCCAGGATGGGAACCGGAGGCGGAGCCGGCAAGACACACAGCGACGGGACCAGTAACAAAGCGGCGTCGGAACCGGCAAAAAACGGCAAAACGGAGTCGGTGTAAAAAAAGGCCCTGTCGTTTCGAGGGCCCACGGAGGGCACGGCACGTTGCGTTTCCAGCGTTGTTGCCGGGGAGGTCCCCGTTCCTGCGCGCTCCCGGGGCGCATCGCGCTGGCAGCGCTGCTGTCCAGAATTTCGCTCCGTGCGCACCCTCTGGAGGCTACTCGTAGGTCAGGCATGCCCCCCCTCTACAGGAGGAATACTCGAGAAGAGTACATGAATAGTCTGGGGACGATTTTCCTATGAAGTTTTGCTATTTTTGAATATGTTTGACTATGTCTTGTTGTTCTTCTCAAATCCGCGTGTAGAAGGGCATGCCCGATCGAATGCTACTCACTGAGACGCCCTAGATAACGCGCTGGTCCTCCTCTACTGCTTGCCGCCCTGCAGGTGTCAGTGGCAACGTCAGGGGTGGACCAGCAAGAGAAGGGGGGGGTCAGCTTCGGCCCCCAATCGCCCAGTCATCGCTCATCTTTGCCTGAGCCACCCATCCCGCCCAGGAACGTGCGGCTTCACGATCGGGGGCAGCTCGCTGATCTATCGGCGATGTACTACCGATCCCAGGTTACCTGCCCCCCCCGCACTTGAGCCAGCCCCCCCTCCGCGACCTCCCTCGAGGTGTTCGTGCCCGAGCTGGTCTTCGGACACCTGCTCACCAGCGACAACTACGACGACAGCCAGAAGAAGGTGACCGGCGGCCGGAATGGCTTCGGGGCCAAGCTTACGAACGCACCGGGCCTAGCTCCTGCACAGCGTCTGCTGGTCGCGCGTGGCCAGGGCCCTGACCCTTCGCTCGGGGAGCTTGCGACATGCACAAGCGTATTCATGCATGTACACATGTCCCAAAAAACAGCGCTTGCACTTTGGAATTCTGACTTTGGAGTTTCTCAGCACTGCACTGAGAAGAAACTTGAGGGGCGTTGATCATCGGCTGCCCGCGTTCCCTTCCTCTTCCCCGTCCCCGCCCCCCTTCTCCAGGAAATGCGCTGGACAGCACGGAATCCTGAAGGCAATTGGCTGACATTCTGGGTGTTCGCCAGGAGGAGGAAGAGGAGGAGGAGGGGGAGGAGGAGTAGGAGGAGGAGGAGGAGGAGGAGGAGGAGGAGGAGGAGGAGGAGGAGGAGGAGGAGGAGGAGGAGGAGGAGGAGGAGGAGTGCCGCTCCGTGGGCGCCTCTTGGACGCCCCGTGCTCCAGGGGGGTGTGCCGAGGTTGCGCCCACGCTGTCGCCTCGTGGGCGCCCCGTGGGCGCCCCGGTGCGCCACGTTGCCGCCCCGTGGCCGCCCCGTGGGCGCCGCGTGGGCGCTCCGCTCGCTGCGGAGGTGTGCGGATGTTGCGCCACGTCGCCGCCTCGGGGCCGCCTCGGGGCATCCTCCTCCCTCGATCCTCCCTCCCCCTCCGCCTCCTCCCCCTCCGCCTCCTCCCCCTCCTCCTCCCTCGCGGTCTCAGATCACGCATCCTCCTCCCTCGATCCTCCTCCTCCTCCTCCTCCTCCTCCTCCTCCTCCTCCTCCTCCTCCTCCTCCTCCTCCTCCTCCTCCTCCTCCTCCTCCTCCTCCTCCTCCCTCGCGGTCTCAGATTACGTCGCGTGCGCTCCGTGATCTGAGCCCTGCACGATCTAGCTTTTGCCACGCAGCTGGCACAGCACAGACTGCGCCGCACAGCGTACACAGCCCAGCGCATAGCGCACAGCTTACATCCCACAGCCTCCACCTCCGCTCGCACGGCCCAGCTTACACGACATAGCAGGCACCACATGGCTTACACCGCGTAATTAGTGTCCACCTCCTCCGCTCACGACACATAACTAACACAGCACAGCTTCCACAACATACCTCACACCGCAAAGCCTTTACCTCCACGGTGCACTAAGGGGCTGTTGTGTTGGACCCACGCTGGCCAATGCATGTCTAGATGTGTGTGAAGTAGATCTGGCTATGTGTGTATGTGCAGGTGCACACTTCATGTATATTGTGTCAGTTGGAAGTATACTTAAGACGCTCGAGAGAAGGGCTGTCATGTTTCAAGACATTGAGTGCGCCTACTGGCTCGTGCTCTTGGCAGCCGCACAGCTTGCACCACACACCAATATTGCTCGCATCACGTGCGCCATTCCGGAAGCCCTGAATCCAAGAACGTGTTCACCTCTCGGGGCACATATTTTACTTCCGCCGCCTTCTGCCGCCCTTCCGCCGGCGCGAAGGCGGCCTCGTCTTACTTCCGCCGCCTTCCGCCGCGGAAGAGGTGCCAACTCCTCCGATCCTCGAGGGCAAACCCCTGTTTAGAACGCCTCACATAGCTGGCACCACACAGCTTAAACCACAGCTCACACTACACAGATTCTCGCTTCAACAGAAAAGCGGATTCTATCCCTCCAGGGGTTATCGATTCTTTTGGGGCATTGCAAAGTACATACGATTCTGCCCCTACGGGCATTTCCTATATGAAATCACACAACCCCAGCCAGGCCTGTATCGACCCCCCCCCCCCTCTCCCTGTCAGATGATGCAATGCGCGGACAGCTGTTTATCTCAAATGATCTGGCTGTAACAATCCCATACAACAAAAAACGAGTTTACGCGCGCGAACATGCCATAATGTAACAAACGCATTCGTCTTGCAAGTGTTGCAAGATGATAACATCAACACACGCAGGTTCTTCGTCAACAGATCTTGCACATGTTCTGCCCGCGCCCACCTGCTGAAACCATTAGAAATCCCAGAAACCGCAGTGACGCGCTGCATCTGCGTTGAATTAGCATTGCGCAGATCCGTATCAAAAAACTCCATGCGCGCCACGCGCGTTTCGAGATCTATTCGAAGCCAATGGCTTTAGAAGCGTGTCAAGATGCCGTTTCTCAATCACATACACAGAATCCACGTCTCTATTCAAGAACAAGCTTGCCAGATGTCTTGAAGTTTTGCGCGCGCGCACTGCCTCACCACTGCCCTCACCAGCGCCACGGCATCACCGCCGCGATCGTCATCGCCAATCGCCGCCGTCGCCGCCATCATCAGCACAACAAGTTTCATCCGACACAAGGACATCATCGTCATCGTCGTCAGCAGCATCAGCGCCGTCATTGGACTTTCCGTCGTCATCGTCGCCACCATCGCTATTGCCATCATCGTTGCCGCCGTCGCCGACGTCATCGTGATACCGCGCCCGCCGTCTGCGACCCACACTGACGTGTCTGCGCGCCAGCGCGGCCTTCGAGACGTGCTGGGAATTTCGCATCGGTAGTCGCCATCGTGGTCGGATCAGTTGTGCCAAGCAAGCCAGCTGGTCGCCCTCCGCAAAAGCGCTCGCTCGCCAGCGCAGCCGCCAGACGCGCTAGCAAGTGCCAATCGGCAGCCGAAATCGTGGCCGCATGGGATTTGCAAAACAAGTTGCCAGTGGGAAGGCTGGATGATTGCGCGAGCGGTGGAGTCGACAGTTCATGGGTTTACAAAAAGTTACTGCACCCCGTGGCTTACACCACATAACTTTCACCGCATCGCTTGAAACGCATGGCTTGCGCAGGCACGGCGTAGCTTACACCACAGAGCTTGCTCCACGTTGCTGAAGCCGCACCGGCCGCCAAACGTCCATTGCACCACATAATTTGCAACACGGCTTACACAGTGTAATTTGCACCACATAGCTTGCACATCCACACCACATGAACGTATGACTTGCATGTTTGGGGGCTCATGTTATTGCACAGTTGTTATGTACACATGTATCGATGTTTCGCGGAACATTGCTCATCTTGGAAAGCGTGCGCCGAGTGCGTTGCATGAGAATTCATGGTGAGATCACCCGGACCGATACAGTCAAACGGTTCTCATGCTTAGTGAGTTTTCACAGAACCGGTTCACGGCTTACTCAGTAGTTCAACAACAGCACTCATTTTAGAACAGTTCTCGTTCATAGGTTCGTGTGTCGCAATTGTGGATATCTTCTTCGTTGAAGCTGCCTATGGGGCCACGAAGCGCTGCACCGGGTGAGGGGGAAACGCGCGGGCGTTAGCACTGGGGCCGTCGGCGGAATTCCCTATGGGGCCACGAAACGCTGCACTGGGTGGGGAGGGCGCATGCTGGCGGTAGCACCGGGCCTTCGGTGGAGCTACCTATGGGGCCACGAAGCGCTGTAGTGGGAGGGGGGACGCAGGCGGGCGGTAACACTGGGGCCGTCGGTGGAGCTGCGTACGAGGCCACGAAACGCTGTACTGGGTGGGAGGAGCGCATGCGGGCTGTAGCACCGGGACCTTCGGTGGAGCTTCCTGTGGGGCCACAGAACGCTGCACTTGGTGGGGGGGGCGCATGTGGGCGGTAGCACTGCGGCCGTCGGTGGAGCTCCTTATGGGGCCACGAAGCGCTGTACTGGGGGGGGGGGGGGGCGCATGGGGGGTGTTGCACTGCGGCCGTCGGTGGAGCTCCTTATGGGGCCACGGAACGTTGTACTGGGTGGGAGAGACGCACGCGGGCGGTAGACCTGGAACCTTCGAGGGAGCTCCCTGTGGGGCCACGAAACGCTGGGTGGGGGGGACGCATGTGGGCGTTAGCGTTGGGACCCTCGGTGGAGCTCCCTATGTCAGGAGCGGAAAAAGGACGTACATGTACATGAATCCACGCTGGTTTCGAGAGTTCACATTGCGCAAATGTTCGTATAACGCAGCCGGTCTCGCGGATCGAGGGGCCGTGTTCATGTACACAGCTGGGCGCGTACGTCCTTTGTGGGCTCCCTACTATGGGGCCACGACGCGCTGTACTGGGTGGGGGGGGGGACGCATGCAGTCGGTAGCATAGGGCGACGATATCTATACATATCCACTGCTCCTGGCCAGGCCCATCCTGGGCCCAGGAGCGGTGTATATGCCTCCCTGGCCAAGCCAGGAGGGCGTATACACAGCTCTTGGGCCCAGGATTGGCCTGGCCAGGAGCAGTGGATATGTATAGATCTCGTCGCCCTATGTACTGGGTGGGGGGGGGACGCATGCAGTCGGTAGCACTGGAGCCGTCCGTGGAGCTCCTTATGGAACCTTCGGCGAAGCCACGACCGCCCCCCGCAGTGTGGTCCCCACGGGGACCTTGAGAGCCTGGCCGCGCCCGCCCGCGCCGCTACCGGCCGCTCCTGCCAACCTGAATCCTCCTCCTCGCTCTTCCTCCTCCTCCTTCTCCTCCTCCTCCTCCTCCTCCTCCTCCCCCTCCTCCTCCTCCTCCTCCTCCTCCTCCTCCTCCTCCCCCTCCTCCTCCTCCTCCTCCTCCTCCTCCTCCTCCTCCCCTCCTCCTCCTCCTCCTCCTCCTCCTCCCCCTCCTCCTCCGCCTCCTCCGTCCTGGGACGCCCGCGGCCGCTCGCGAGTGGCCGCGACGCCAGAAAGTATGAATTGAATGTGCGTCTGGGCTTCTTGGATATGACGCGTCACCGCTTGCTGTCACCCTTGCGGGTCTGCGCGCTGCATTGCAGGTCGCCGTGCACGTTTACCTGTGTTCCTCCGGTTGCAGCTCTTCGGGTACTCCCTCATCGACAATGCTCGACAGTGAGTACCTCTCAGCGCGCCCCACTACTCCCATCGCTGAGTGTGACCAACTGGCCTGGAAGCAACAAGTGTGCCTGCGTGCTGGAGAGTGTGGTGCTGTTGTTGATGGCTTCCCATTTCTTTCTCTCTTTTTTTGTTGGATAAACTTGGTAACCTCCCCGCGGCCCACTGTTTTCAATTGGAGTGCCCCTCTTGGGGCCCGCGCCTTGTTTCTCACAAGGGGAACCATTGCGCAACACACTGTGGTTTTGGCCACTGACACTTCCTCACGATGTGTTGAGAAGTCGGGATTCCGTTAAAGACTTCCTTGCAATTTAGCACAAATATTATCAAAGAATTGTGTTGCCGCCTGAGACCTCCTAACGCTTGGTTCACGGAATGCTCTCGCGGCGTTCTGGAATCGCGCTCTCGTCCGGGACCTCCCCACAATTTACTCAGAAACCGCGCTCTCGCATCAGACTTCCGTGTCATCCCCTGTTGCTTTATCCTCTTGTCAACCCTTCTCGTCCTTCATCTTCTCACTCCCTCCTTCTTGCACACTTCTCCATCCCCCCCTTCCTACACTCAAATCCTCCTCTCCCTTCCTCCTCGCTCTTTCCATTTTCCATTATGTCGGTTCTTCCTGCAAGGCTGCACCAATTACAAGTGGTAGGGAAGGAGGATCTGCCCCCCAAGGGGGCACGACCAAACACGAACATGGCGGGTATCGAGGCACCAGGGGCTTGGGGGGACAGAAGACTGGGCCGACAGGGGAGGGAGGGGAGCGAAAAGCGGGGTGAACGAGCGGTGCTCGAGTGCTCGAGCGCGCGGGAGTTCTCAGGCGTCAGAGCCGAAAGGGGGCACGAGTGGGAAGCGGCCGGTGGCGGTGGAGAATGGACAGCACCGTGCTCGAGCGCACCACACACGCACACACACGCACACGCGCACCCGTGCGCGCGCACACTCTATTTGCGTCGGCGGCTGGGCAGAGGCCACTGCTCCGGCGATCGGGCATCAGTGGGGAGCGCTAGATGCAAATTGGGCCGCAATGCACGGAGGCAGAGGAGGAGAGCCCGGCGCAGGCTGGAGGAGAGGAAGCGGGGCCGCTCAGGCAAGTCCCGGCTGCGGCGGGGCGGGCGCCGGGGGGGTGGAGCCAGCCGCGGCGCCGGGCAGCAGCTGGGGGGGAAGGCAGCCCTCCGACGGCGGCTGGGCAGCGCTGGGGGAGGGGGGAAAACGGATGGGCAAGTATGGAGCATCCAGACTTGCCGGTGCGATATCAGCACACAGGAAGTACCAGTAGGGGGTTGACGCGGAAGGGCAGCAAGCGGTTGCACTGAGAGAGGGCCAGTCACATGTAGGTGCAGTTGGCCACACCAATGGAGGAGCAGACGGTGTTGGCGATCCCAGCGGCTAGGCCAAGCGCCGAGATCTGGTGACTTGCGAGCCGCGATTGAGCGCGCGCGCGCACACACACGCATGCATGCATATTTATATATATATATATATATAGATGTATACACAGTCACACACCTGTTCATTCCTCCAAAGTGTTGTAGCGTCCACCCTTTCATGGCCTCAGGGGATGCGCCAATACTTTTGCGTGCGACCGAATTGCGCCGCTGTCCGCCACACACAGACATACCAACACACAGTGGTTTGGTTTCGCGGCCGCTCCTCGCGCAGCGTCGCAGCGGAGACACACACACACAGACACTGTCAGCATTGGCGCCACGCGCGCGGCGGCGCGGCGTAGTGAAGGTCTGGTGTGGCAACGAGGGGTGTGCGGGCCAGGCCAGCTGCACGCACACACACACACACACACAGAGACACGAACGCACACACACACACATACACTGTTTGGCGGTAGCGGCCCCGCGCGCGGCGACGAGGCGGAATATGTCGAGCTCCGGGGCGGCGGCGCGCGGCACAAACGCACACACACACACACACACACACACACACACACGCACACGCACGCACGCACGCACGCACGCACGCACGCACGCACACCCGCACGCCCGCGCGCGCACGCGCGCGCACGCACGCGCGCACGCACGCACGCACGCACGCACGCACGCACGCACGCAAACACACACACACACACACACACACACGCACACACACACACACACGCACACACACACACAGACACACACACACACACACACATACACACGCACACACAGCCACACACACACACGCACTCACAGACATATACGCACACGCACAAACACATGCGCACATGCATCGCTCAAGGCGCGCTGGCGGATGCTATTTACGTGGTATGGCGCATCTGTGCACATCCAGGATTCGGGCGTCCTGCGCGTCATATTAAGAGGTCGTTCGTTGAGACAGGAATCACATCGCAGGCATACAGCAACGACGCTGGAGTCAGGACGAAGTTGGGCTCAGGAGAGACTTTGGTTTGCAGGCCGTTCCTTATATCACAGGTCGGGTTGCCGATTCGTGGCATAGGCTCACCGTGGCCACGAAAGCCCCTTCGTTCCTTCTTCGGTGTCCCTTCTGGTAGCACGTTGACTGGTGTCATGGTTTCCGACTGCCTCTCTGGGCGCGAGCATGGCGCTGCTTTGATGCCCCAGGGGCTCCTCCTGCTTGCCACTCCCCCTGCACCTCCTGCTCCCCTCCCTTGGCATATCCATCCTCCTGCTCCCTCTCCTGCTCCTCCTTATGTGTTTGCGCCGCCGATCTTCCTCACGCAGCTGCACGCGGGTTCGCGATTGGTCGAGCGTGTGGTAGAATGGCTGCCGAAAGGCGACATGATGTCAGGGGGGTAGCAACGCCCATGTTGCCCCAGCCCGATCCGGACATTCTACCCAGTAGCACAGAACGGTTTTGAGGGCTGGAGAGCTGAACTGCGATCTTCCTCTTGCTGCTCCCCCTGCTCGACACCACCCTGCCCTAGAGCCTAGAGCACTCTTTCCCTTCCCCGCCCCCCTCCTCTCGATTGGTCCCGCGTGCGCGCCGAGGGAAGGCTCCGCCCCGCGTTCCCTTGTTGGCAGTCCCTGTTCTTGCCGCCCGGAGGCGGTGCCTCCCCTCCCCAAGACTTCCTCGCGTCGCGAACAAAAAACCTCCCCTCCCCTCCCCTCCCCAAGACTTCCTCGCGTCGCGGACAAAAAAAACATTACGGGACATTCGCGTGCCGTGTTCGGCCCCCCAGGGGCCCTCCCCGGGGCCCCGAGATTGTCAACATGTCGTTCTGAGTGCAAGCCCGTTCTGGGGGAGTAGTCCAGACCTCCCTGTGGGTCCGCGTGGTGGCAAATGACGTCGAAGACTCGGGTCCTCTTCCCCGTCCTCTGACGTCTCTCTCCCTTCCTTCTTCCCCCCCTCCTCGGAAAATGTGTGGGGTACCTGCGTCTTTTCCCTCACTGCCCCCTTCCTTCTCCCTCGCCTGCAGCCCTCCTCCCCGCCGTTTTGCGACAAGCGCGAGGCCGCGTGAATGCAACCGGTAGCCGGTTTGGTCTCAGCGTGCCTTGCCCACTCGTTTGGCAGCCAGCAGCCAGCGTTGCATCGAAGAGTTCGCCGAGGTCTTCAGCAAGAAGTTCGTCATCGAGACGTCGGACAAGGGGAAGAAGTACAGGCATGTGGCTTCCCGGGCAGAGGATGAGGACAAGAAGGGAAAGGATGGATGTGAAGAGAAGATGAGGGGAAGGAGCATACCGAGACATGTTGGCGACCGCGAGAGGGGCGTGTGGGGGAGAGAGAGAGAGAGATATAACAAAAAGAGACAGACAAGGAGAGAGAGAGAGAGAGAGGGAGAGAGAGAGAGAGAGAGAGAAAGCAACGATTTGGACACCGCTTGTCCGGGCCAGGGGCTACAAGCACCGCATTGCATTGCGTCCACCTGTTGTGGCCGGAGGGGCCGCTGTTTCTACCAGGCGGGATGCGAAAAACCTCTCCCTGGCGCAGCCTACGCAGGACCACGACCGGAAAGCAGAACAGGGCATGGTGACTCAGCACCGCAACCCGAGACGTGGACCGCGGAACGTGTTGATACACAGCATCAGCAATCGAAGCACGCCTCCGCACACAGGCCAGGAGATACCTGCCAAAAGGTTGAGGCCAGGCTCACCATTGAACGATACATCCGTGGGAGGAGGAGGAGGAGGAGGAGGAGGAGGAGGACGGAGGAGGACGGAGAGGAGGAGGAGGATGAGAACGAGGAGAGGAGGAGGAGGAGGAGGATGAGAGGAGGATGATGAGGGTAGGTGGATGTTGTTGAGGAGGAGGAGGGAGAAGGAGGAGGAGGAGGAAGAGGTGGAGGAGCAGGAGGAGGAGGAGCAGGAGGAGAAAGAGGAGGAGGATGGAGGAGGGGAGAGGGAGAGGAGGAAGAGGTTCAGGAGGAGGAGGAGGAGGAGGAGGAGGAGGAGGAGGAGGGTGGCAGGAGGAAGAGGTGGAGGAGGAGGAGGAGGAGGAGGAGGAGGAGGAGGAAGAGGTGGAGGAGGGGGAGGTGGAGGAGCAGGAGGAGGAGGAGGACTAGTTCAAACCGAAGAGCCAGCAACGATGTTGGAAAACACCCTCCCTACAACTGTTCATCTCCATTGAGGGATCTGCCTCGTTGGAAGGCACCCGTCTGAACACCCTATAGCATGCCAAAACATTGTTCTCGGGATTCCGACGTCACGGATCAACCTGACTGTTGCGTCTTGACCATCATGGATCGTGCCAGAACGCAATTCTTGGGTTAAGCACCGCGAATCAACGTAACTGCTGCACTCGCAAATTCCTGAACCCTTCAAAAACACAATTCTGGTACGCTGATCGTGGGAATCCGTAAAACTCTTGCAAATACTATGAACGAATGTGCCCGGCGCTGAGGCGAGAGCCACATTTTGAAATGGAACCGCCCTCAATCCGTGAAACCATTGCTAGAACGAATGTGCGCGGCGCTACGGCGAGAGCCACATATTGAAA